TATATATATATATATGATGGTTTTTGTTAATGATAATAATAATAACAACAACAACAGTAATAATAATAATAATAATGGTACTAATAATAAAATAGATTATTATTGTTGTCATTTTTGTTTAAAGCATTATTTAAAATTGATAATTATTTATTTAAAAAAAAATCTGAGATTTACAGCTGTGTATTCTTATTTTATACTTTAGAAACCAAACCAGAATTCATGTGGAAATCAAAACAAGCATCAGTAAACAATATTGTAACTGTATTTTGTTGTCTCTTGCCCTCTGTAGGACCCTGGATTTGCTTCCTTTATCATAGACCAGCTGCAAGTGCCCGATTGGTCGCTGAAAGGCGGACATGAAGGAACGAGGTGTCAGGTGTGTGGCACCCCTGCACAGCAGCTAAAACAGCAGGCACTGCAGACTCTCCAAGAACTGTACCCTGCTTCTGACATGCCATCCCTGCCTCCCAACACCTTCCCTGGGCATCCCACCAGGCTGAGAACAAACAGCGTGGTCACTCTTTCCTCCAGACCTACCAGATCGAGGATACCTCACCCAGCGCACAGTGTCCTGCCTGTGGGAGAGCGGCAGCGTGAGCAGGGCTGGTCTCAGAGCCCGTCTTGCAGCGCTGGGGCAATGAAACCCAGCATGCAGGTGACCATGGGAGGAAGACCTCTGATGGGGACCATCAGTTCAGTCACCATTCAAGCCCAGCAGTACTTGGAGGGCATGTGGAGCATCTCACACGTCAATAACTTCCTGCCTCAGCCAAACCCGGTATACAACCTTTCATTTCTCTCCAACTATGAGCTCTTTTGTTTATGCATTAAATGAATTTAATGGTAATCAATTGATCCCATTTACTACTAAAACATTAATTCTCACTGTGTTTAGAATTTAGAAGTGACCATGTTTATTCCCTGCAAAGTCTTCATCTTTCACAATAGGAGCTTTTAAAGGGTGTAGGGGTTGAAAATAACAGTCGTTTGGATGTATTTTTGACATCTGTCCAAGTCAAAAGAGCTGCTGTTGCTGCCATACAGTGATTGAGAGGTATGGAAAAGTTCAATTTGAAGGGCTCTTTGAAGAATTATTATTCACCAGCAGACATCAGTTGACGATTGGTCTGGTTAATTGAGCCTACAGCTGTCTGAATGAATCGCAGTTGAAAACACCTGCATAATTAAATCACATGCACCCAGTTATACATAGAGAGCATCTTTGAAACATAAGAGCACTGAGACAGTGTGTTAACAGTTTATGCTGTCTCATTTACAGATTTGTACACTTGTAGTGCAGTTACTCATTGTCAATGCACCTGCTGAATTATGAGTGAGTGATTTGGAAATGCGTATCACGTTGTCAATGAATGTAGCATTTGTGTTTCAGTTACACTTTACAGTGATGTTTACAATGAGGTAGTATATACACTACCATTTAAAAGTATGAAATGAGTAAGATTTTGTATTTATTTTATTTAATTTTTATTATTTTTGTTATTATTTTACTTTTATTGTTTTATTTTATTTTTGTATTTTATTTTATTTATTTTTAAATTAACTAATACTTTTATTTAGCAAGGATTAAACTGATCAAAAGTGACAGTAAAGACTTTTACAGTGTTATGAAAAAATCTATTTGAAAGAAATTCTGTTCTTTTTACAATCATATTCATCGAAGGATCCTGAGGAATAAAATATCACGGTTTCCACAAAAAATATTAAAAAGCAGAACTGATTTAAAATGTGAAAAGAATAAGAAAGGTTATTTTATCACCAAATTAGTATATTAAAATAATTTGTTAGTGATCATGTGACTGGAGAAATTCAGCTTTGCCATCACTGGAATAAATTATATTTTAAAATATAATAAAATAGAAAACAGTTCTTTTAAATTGGAATAATTTTTCATAATATATATTTTTTGGTCAAATAAATGCAAAATGATAGCGTATGTATGCGGCAATTAAAATGACTATTGACATTATTCTCATAATGGCTGAATATGATTATTCATCTGGCTGATATATTGGTCTCAGCCATAAATCGATCGATCACTAGAATGCAGGATGGCAGATTGACAGCTTGAGGAGTTCAGTTTATTACTCCATTTCATTGACTAGCTGCCTTACGGCACTGTTACATTCCACAGTGGACTGCTCATGTGTACTAAGTGTACAGCTTCAGCGTGTTAAACTAAACAAAGCTCACCACCACAGGTGGTCAGCTGAACTATTCCTGACTGTCTTTCATATCTGAGTCTCTGTTGCATCAGAGCTGTGTCTAATTGTAATACTTATAACCTCTTTCTGTAGTATTGATGTTGCTTTTACAATCTTTTGCAGTTGCTTCTGATAGATCCTTTTTTTTCCTGCCAACTGTTACCGCTATTGATAATAGGAGATTAACAATAGCCTGTGCATTTCCTATTTGAGTTAATGTCAACAAGTGCTTTTATTCCAGTGTGCGAGCCGCCACTGAAGCTTTTAGCAACCAGCATGTGTTTGTGCACAAAGCAAAAAGCCTTGAATAAAAAAGCCGACCAACTGCTGGCCCAGTACGTCTTGAAAAACCAACAGAAGCTGTCTGCTTTACGCAAACACACAATTCACACATGTAGGCTTGCACAGGAATAGCTCTGAACTCTACGCTTTTCCCTTGTTCAAAGACGTGCCTTGTATAATTTGGAAAGGCTCCTTCCTTTCATTAGATTGGAGGGATGACAATAATGCATGCAGTGCGCTGGGATTTCAGCGGAGCCTTGAGCAAAGAGCTTTAACTCATCTGATTTCTGTGGGGAGAAATGACAAGCAGCAGGAGAAAAGAGGAGGAGATAAAGCCATTGAGATGGACTGAGTCTGACAGGAAGTCTTTGGAGGGGTCTTGTGTTCTGTGAAGTAGATTTTTATGTCTGTGCTACTTGGTAAAGGCACATCACTACTTTTGAAGCAGGTGAGAGCTCTTGGAAAGCAAGAAGTGAAATGTCAAATGGCAAGAAACACTTTGATGCAAAGTTTAGGAGCATCACCATCAACACAAAGTTGACAGCTATCAAGTTTAGATTCAAACGAATTCTTGAAATGCTTAGACCACATGTGTTTTTTTTTTTAACATGTGCTATGGTAACACTATTGCATTTCTTTTAAAGGGGTGGTTCATTGCGATTTCACTTTTTTAACGTTAGTTAGTGTGTAATATTGCTGTTTGAGCATAAACAATATCTGCAAAGTTACGAAGATGAAAGTTTAATGCAAACGGAGATATCGTCTTTTAAAATTCTGGTAGTTTAATGCCTACAAAAATGGCTTGAAGGGACTACAAGAAGTTACTTCCCGGGTTTGTGTCATCACAAACCCAGATAAACCCCGCCCCTGGGAACATGCAACAAAGGGGGTGAGGCCATGCTGCGCTGCTTTAGAAAAGAGGAAGAGAAAACTAGGGGTGCACGTAAAAAACTATTCATATATGAATCGCGATTCTGTCTTCTAACGATTCTAATGGATTCACAAGTTTCAAAATCAATGTTCTAAAGCAGCGGCTCTTAATCATGTTCCTCGCATCCCCCTCTCCGCACACGCTCTGCATCTGGCTGCACGTAAGAATCTATTCATATATGAATCGCGATTCTGTCTTCTAACGATTCTAATGGATTCACAAGTTTCAAAATCAATGTTCTAAAGCAGCGGCTCTTAATCATGTTCCTCGCATCCCCCTCTCCGCACACGCTCTGCATCTCTCTCTCTCTCTCTCTCTCTCTCTCATTCAGATCATCAGCTCAGCTCCAACAATAAACTGTTCCAATTAATATTATACACTTATTTTCACATAGCTATGAGAAGCGTTAAACATGGACGCGCGTGCAGTTGCCGTACTGTATTAAAGCTTTAATCAGGATAAAACCATATATGAAAATCTAACATAAGCAGTAGCATTTACAAATAACAGCATATCTAAAAGTATGAGACACCAACAAACAAACATACCATTAAGAGCCGTGCTTGCACAGGTTCTGCACAATCCTCTTTACTAATATCCTCTGCGTCTCAATCGGGCTCAAATTGATAAGCAATATAGACGACGCCATTGTTTACAATACAACCAGAGCACATGCCGCTAAGGTGAGGGGCGGGACGTTTAGACGCGCAATGGCGGTTTAGCGAATCACAACACACTGGGCTAGTTAACCAATCTGAGCCCATTGCGTATTTCTGAGGGAGGGGCTTCATGAAAGCAGGAAATGATCAGCGCGTTTATAGGAGAAAGGACAGAGCGGTGTGGAATAAAGGTAAATTATGTGAAAAATAATGTGTTTTTTTTTTTAAACGAAGAATGAACACATGTTAGACTGCACCCCATAAACACAATCAAGCCTAGAAAAAAAAACAGTCAACCACCCCTTTAAGTCTCTTGGATTGCCCATGGTAACAATTTATTACAATATTCAAGTACCATGATATTACCATCTGATACTATCAATGTGCTGCCATCATACTTGTTTATAAAGCGGAATAAGAACATATTCATACACACACTCAAGAACGTCTGTTATTTTGAAATTCGAATGATGCGTTTTACAAATCCACTTACAATCCACTTACAATACCTGATAATTCTGCCATTGAAGTTCTGTTTCAAAACGCCACATTTTTAGACATCATAGCCACACTTCTGACTTCAGGCTGTTACAAAACTTCTAAGATAACTTGCCAAATTATAAGATGGTATAGCCTTTATCATCGGCACTTCCGTAATGAAGAGTGAGTGCATGTGCATGGTTGCCAGATCGCAAACAAATACACAGAAAATGTATCCTATTTTGTCTCCTTTTTTTTTTTTTTTGAGGAAAATAAAAATAATTTTTTGGAAAGTTTTTATTTTATTTTTATTTATTTTATTTTGGTCACGTCTTTTATCGTCAACGATATTGCATGTTGTTATAGTCAGAGTTATCGTTCATTCACCTTATTGTCATCTTGCTATCATCACGTTTTAGTTAGAGGTGGCATGATACCATTTTTTCAGAACCGATCCCGATCCGATACCAAAGGTTCTGAGTATCGGCAATAATTTTATAAAATCTAAACATTTAGAGAAAAAACATTATTTAGTGGAGGGGAGGAAATAAAAGTAAATAGTTGTAATCTGGTAAAATGTTACACATTGCTCTTTGTATTGTAATATACAATCATGGAAAACAAGTAAATATAATTATATATAAATGTATGCAATAAATTAAATACATTTCTTTTACATTTATAGCACAGTAATGAGGCAGCAACATATGATATATAAGAGAAACAAGAAAGGCTATTAATAATCTGTCATTTTTCGCTTATGCGCATCCCGCGCAGCGCTCCACATAGAAAAGTTCAAAGCACAAAGGGAAGAGACGTTGATGCGTAGTGTATTATATATGTGCGATAATTTATTGAGCCTTTTCTTTTAAGTTTTACATTTCAGTTACTGTGCGCATGAAAAACAATTCATAGTGCTTTCTACTCCAGTGTTGTGATCTAACAGACACCCGGTAGAAAGTAACATGATTTAGAATTAGCACTAAACTCCAGCAAGATAAAGTCCTTTTATGCAAAACCGCTGATGTTTATCTACAGATCAAGTATAATAATAGGAATATTGTATCATCCTAGAGAGAGTTTCATCGTCTTGACTGTCATAACCGAACGTGACGCGCAGTTTGAATGCTGAATGGAGGATGACTGACAGCCGCAGAGGAGAGAAGAGTTTACGAGAACTTGAATTTAACGACTTAAATATTCATCTGTACCTCACATTAAACTATGGAACGGTCTCAGAACACTTGAAATATAGTGCACGGAAATTGTGCTTTATAATGTTTTTGTGCCTTTCGTTGGGCTTAACAATAACACAGAATAGTATATGCACAATATCGGATTTGGATCGGTCTCGTCTGACCAATACCCCGATCCAGCATAAAGTGGCAGTATTGGAGTGATAGCGTTACTGAATATCGGATCGGCGCACCCCTAGTTTTAGTCATAGGAAAAAAGCTCATCAACCAACATTTTTCATCATAGTTTTCGTTAACGAAATTAACACTACAACAAACACAGAAAATTTTTTTTGTTTCTTAGAGCATTTGGGCAAACATATTTTACTATAATCTGATGAGTAACACCTTTAAAAAGAAAAGAAAATCCGTCTTGAGAGCATGTTACTGTCAGGTTTATTGCTCTTTACTCAAGCTGGCAGATAAAATTATTAGAGCATAGCGGGATGGGATTTTTCACGTGGGTTTCATATGGGCTAGAATGACCTACTGGCCTACTGGGAGCCCAAAACCAGGAATCCTTAAGCAGCGTGAACAGACTGTGATCTGCCTCCCTCTGAGCAGGAGAAAGAGAGAGAAATTATGCTGCTCCTTCACAGAAAAGAAAAGGAAAGACAGACATTCGGAAGGAGATGTGAATAGTTGGATTTTCTGGACTTTAGTGTAGAGATGAGGTTGTAGAGAGGGTGTAGGGTGTAGCATAAAGAGAATACCTGATTTTATCGAGTGCTGGGAGCTCTCTGCAGCTGTACTTTAATGACCCGACCTGGGGATACAGCGCGTGCACCTCATGCTCTGTGTCTGACACTCATGAAAACAGCTTGACTGGAGGGCTTAAGTCCTCAAAAACCCATAGTGGGTTTTTTTGACAGCTGCTTCAGTGTGTTTGTGCTTGAATGTGCATCTAATGTCTATGTTTGTGCATCCCAAATTCTGTCTCGCTTCCACTGCGTAGCCCCTTTAAACATCCTGTTGATGTGAAATGTGACACCCGTTCCTTCTTTATCTGTACGTGGGGATTACCATTCTGTCCAGATAGACACCATTCACTGTCAGTGTGACGCTGTTTTGATTTATCACGGCTCATCTGAAACCGGAATGCCATGTGCTGCGATAGGACTCTGTCATGTCATGGATCCAGCATGTCGTTTTTTGCGTTGATGAATGCATGAGTGCTAAGTTCATCGGAGCCCTTTCTGACTTCTCACGGGCTCAAAAACCTGGACACCAGAATCGTTTTTTGATCCCACCTAAGCTGTAAAAAAGCTCACATAAAAAGCCGCAGGAACAGCTATTGTGTATGAATAGTCATTCCCCCCAAAAAACTAATTGAAGTTTAAGTCATGTCCTCATGCATACTTTGTAATTTCGAACAATGGAATTGCCATTTCTGCGACAGAACTGACAGACATAACAATTATTGATTTCAACCGTACACAGAAAGCAGTTATAGACATAAACACAATCCTGGAGCATCTGAATAAACAGACGTAAACAACTCAAACAAAACAAAACCTTTTGCCTTTGTTCAAAACCCTCCAACCCTCAAATCAGTCGAAGCTTATGTACTAGTAATTATTCAACTAAATGTCACAGTTCAACAAAGTGCAGACTAGAAACAGAATGGATGCTGCTTGTCGTACTCCGTCTCATGTGAGTAATCCTTCCATATGTCTGAAGGTTTGCGATATATGGAGCTCATATGTCATCCAAGGTATATAAATAGTTCTCCTGTCAGAGTTCTGTTGATGCATCACGCACTGGATGGCCTATGCTTCATGAAAAGATTGTTAATGATGTTATTTTAGTTGCTAGACATGAATCCAGAGCAAACACGATTCCAGCCATTATGCACAACCACCGCAACATAGACGACATGCCGCCCTAAAGCCATGGTTGTCTATTGCTCAATGTGCTGTCAGTGACTAACTCATGATATTCTCTGGGAAATTGCCCAACCTTACCTGAAGCCTTTTAACACACTGCCTACATTCAAAACAAGCACTTGACAGATCATATTGATTGTGGGTTTAAGCTACTTAGTTACTCACAAGCCTCAGAGACAAAGAGCAACTCTGGTAAAATAATGAAAACGTCAGTGAATGAATGGGCTCCAGTGCAAGAATATTTAACAACTACAAACCAATATGTTCTAGATGTTTTATTTTATTATCTGCAAAAAAGCTATTTCTCACAGACTTCATGCAAGAATTATGTAACAGCATTTCAAATATCACAGTGTAGAGTCGATTTGTAGAATCATGCATATCTCAAGCACCCAGATTTTGAGCTTTGTGGGAACACCATTGGAGACACTGACAGAAGACTAGTTTCTTGACCTGTCCACTTTCTCGAGAGCTTGCCTGTATTGCCTCAAATAATGGGAGACCTGGTGGACCCATGTCTGGATTGACAACCTCTGAATTTTACTATGATTCTGGCTAAGGAATTCACATTTCTTGTGAATCAGTCTAATCTCTACCCTGAAACCCTATTCATACCTTTAGTACAGGGAATAATGTTCCTCCCTGGTGGTTAATTATGTACTTTATGATAAATGCATGTGAGTAAGTGTTACCTCCTTCTTTTTATTTGTGACCTTTGAAACATAATCCATAAGGGAACTGCCTCTTGCTCCTTGTAAGGACTTGCTCTATTCCTTCAAGAAGGTGTGATCCTCCGTGACCTAGGCGTGTGATTCATGGAACAATGTAAGAAGGTAATTTAATGTCATATTATTGGGATCCAGAGTTTGAAGCATTTCCTCTCCTGCTTCTCCCCACCCCAGACACAAGGCCTCGTAGGTCAAGCAGAGCAGAACGAATGGCATTCAGATACCACCATCTCCAGAGTGTCCCTGACTCCCTCCAGACAGAGAAGTCCAGTTCATTTTGGCCAGGCTGTGTCTGCTTCTTCTGATCATCCCACTTCAGCTGCAGCATCCTTTTTCATCAGGTAAGAATTTAACATAGATCACTTAATGGACCCTCAAACATCCTTATGTAGCAAAGCATGGTAGCAAACTAGATGCCTCTGGATCTTTACCTTAACTTAAAATCAAGGTTACAGATTTTGGACTTGGTGTGATGTGGTATATTATTATAGGATGGCGTGGCATAGTAGCTATTGACTGGCGACCAGAAGAGTTCCTTCTTGAGAAAGGCATCTAACCCTATGTTGCTCCAGTAGGATTATCCCTGTAGAGTTGCGTGTTTACTAATGTATTAGTTTCTCAATTCCACTGGTATTTGCAAAAGGGTGGTGACAGGAATTCTTCTGGAATGGTCCTGGAAAACACATTTGACAAATTTCTCAAGCCAAGTGACAACATGGGACATTAAAGAGTGATCAGGGGCCTCTCCCTTTGTGGAGAATGATGACAGCTAAGTTTTTAGATCCACTTGGGATGCTGCCACCTGCCCAAGCACTTCCGGGTCATTCTGAGACAACAGACATATGTGACCCCATGTAGGACAAGGTTAATTTTTGCAGTCTGATGTATAATTGCACGTCTGTTTCTTTGGAGTTGATCTCAAAAGAAGCGGATACGCAGGGAGGCTGCTATTTCACAGAAACATAATGACGAGGAAGAGAGAGAAAATAGATTTGTTTTTCCCTCTTAATTTAAACTCCTGGGTGGATGAACAGAAGAAGTAGGAAGTTATGTTGGGTACCACCTCTTGTTTCATCCCAAATACTAGTGCCTACCAGGAATTTTATTGTTATGGTTAGGAATGAGGTCAGTTTTTATTTTGGACACCCTGGCATTCTTTGAATGCTGAATATGGGACATACTTGATTGTTTGTTACTAACAGCCACTAATTTGTGTAACTAGCATTAAATTAGTAACCAAAGGCTGAGAAATTGAAGAACTGCACTATCAGAGATTGCATACACCAGGGACAATCCACTCATACATGTATGAGTGATAGAAATGCTCAATATGGGGCCTGTTGTGTGATTTTTCTTAAAAAGACTTTGACTAGCTGCTTTCTAGACATAAATAGGCATTCGTGTTAGTTTGTGCACAAGTGACACATGATGGATTAACAGTAAAGTGCTTGTTTAAGGTGTGAAACTGGTATAAAATATTCATTGCTGTTTAATTAAAATCAAGACTAATAACTTGCTCCACCTAGCAGTTCACTAAGACCTCCAGATACCTTTCCACAGATGTTTGACTTGATCAGAGTATGCAGAATAAGAAATGCCAGTGCAACACTTTGCTTTCATGCGTGCCAAAAAATTAATGAAGAGCATCCTATAAAGGAGTCATTATCAAACTTCTAAATTGAAATCAAGGGCTGGTAGTGAACATCCAGACCTGCAGTTATTCTGCTTGTGTGCATTGGGCCTATAACCTGCTTGTACAACAAGCAGGAGGCTGGATCCTCTCTTGTAAGTAAAATGTTAATTAGATTACAATTAGAGTTGGAGGAGAAAGTGACGAGGGACAATGTCAATCTCTTTCCAGTCAACCTTTAGGTGTTGTTATGATCTTTGATTTCAAATAACATTTTATGAAAATTAATTTTCAGAACAGCAGTGATCAGAATCCATCCCTGAACACCTCTGAATGCGGTTGCAGTGATTGAATCACAATGTGTATTGGGTGCAATTATTGTAAACCTGGCTTGTATTAAGTGTTATCTTATTGTAATTCAATCACGTTAATGCAAGGTGTTACCTTACAATTGCTTTACAAAAATATATATATATATATATAATGGTATTACCTTACAAATGGACACCCACATAATGTACCCACATAAAGTACTGTTTAAGTACCTTAGTCTATGAATAAGGCACTCAGTGCCAAGGTAAATCAAAGTACCATGATTGCTGAACCATATTTCCATAGTCTTTTTGTAAGGCATCTTTGGCTTCCATAAGGTGATTTAACTTTCTTTATGTCAGCCTGTACTGTATAAATATTAGTGGGCAACTAGTAAGAAAACAGAGGAGCAGATGATGGCTAGATGCATGGCTGAGAAGTTGACTTTTCCCTAACCCCCCTTCTCGGCATATGCTCCAGAGTGACGGAGCATATGATTAGTGTATTGACTGACATTCTAGCTGGCTCCTATAATGAATACAGACAGAGGGCCCAAAGAGCTTCCCAGAGCTTCAGGATGCACTGTCACACTCAACAGTCTGCTGTGCTTTGCTATTCCACCTCGGTGCTCTGCGAGATGAAATGGTTCAAAACAACCCTGAACTGAGCATCATGTACAGGGTCATGTGAGTGAATCATCTGAGCCTTTGCTAGGTGGGAGTTGGGGTAGAACTGATTAAAAGGATATGACTGTTTTGGATAGCCACATGCACTATTGACTCCAAAGGGGATGAGAGAAAGAGAAAGAAAATGAGGTTGAGAGTTTTGTCTGTCTAGAGATCAGAGCGGCTGTCCATGTGGGTAAAAAATGTGCAATGAATGGTAAAAGATTTGGTGTGTATGTTGTATATGTGGGTGTCAAAAGTTTTAAATGGGAAAGTGCCAAATACAATCCTTTCACTGGAGGTTTGGGCAAGTGGACTATTTTGTTGGTTCTTTGAGCACCTAATTAGTCTTGTATATATTTTAATTATTTACTGCTGCAGTATGTTGCTGACCAATCAGAAGTGATCAAATACATGGTAAAGTTAAGCCTAAAATATACAAAAAAAATTTGTACGTGTACGCTAGCATATGTGTAAAGTAGAACATGTAGCCTTACAAAGTATACTCCATTTGATAGGCGGTTGACACATGCACTCTGGAAGGCTTCATCTTAGTCCCGTGTCTGTGCTATTTCTCTCCAGAAGTTATGACCAATGCTATCTCATGACCAAGTCGCACATATTTTACGAGATGGCTAATTAGTACGAATTCATATGACCTCACTCGTATGATTTTGTACGATTTGTCTAGACCCTAGTGACGAGTAGGTTTAGGGGCGGGGTTAAGAGTAGTTAACTCGTATGAATTCTTACGAATTGGGGAACTCGTAAAATATGTATGATTTAGCAAAAAGCGTACAAATTCGTACAAGTGAGGTCGTATGAATTAGCCACCTCATAAAATATGTATGAATTGCCATGAGATCAGGTTGTTATGGCCAATAAAAATACCTTATATCTAAGTACTCTCTCTAAGTACTCTTATAAACTAAAGTTGCTGCTATTTCATAACCCCTCACACAGGTGCTTGTCAATGCGTGTGTCTGTTGTTGTTGCAGTCGCCGCTATTTGTTGCTGTTGTTATTCCGTCTATTTAGTTTCATTTTCTACTGTGAAATAACGTCCAGTGCCAGTGTTGCCACCTTGTGGAGCAATTGATTAGTTCAAAAGAGATTCAATGAGCATATGCGACCTGTTACAAAAATTTCGTATACTATTCTGGTGACCCTTGCGTATGTGTTTTATTTAGCACAGAAAAAATTAGGTTCCTCCTGGAATGTAAAGGATAGATGTTTATGGAGAAAAAAAAATAAATTTATATATCACTTTCATATAGCACGGAACACAATATTTACATAATCTTACAAATGTACCATGTCGTTTAGCATTTGCTAGCTTGTTTTTCAGTGCCATTCATGTGTATGTATGGATGACAAGATTGCATACAGTGTAAAATGCCTTTCACTTTAAGAAATGTATAATTGTAGGTGAATTTGTTACAAAACAGCTCTTCTCTGAGAGGGTTGTAGTGTCTTCACTAGAAGTGAGTGGTGACGTGACAAGGCTTCTCTTATAAAAGCGATGCTGTTTTCACTGTCTACATGTGATGCTCATTCACATGTGGTATAGACATTGTGTGAAGTCCAAACTTAATTTCTTTCAAACTGCTGCCACAATTCATTAGTTGACTGCCCATTCCAAGGTTTCAAGGTGTGTAAATGGAGGGTGTATACTTGTACGTACATGCATGCAGGTCAACATTGAGAGGCACAGCTGTTTGGCGGTATGCGGACTTGCAGTGGCATTGAGCACAACACACGGTGAAATGTTTTTTTATGGCCTAGCACTCAATTTCAGTTGCCTGTCCAGGTGAGCTTGAACAGTAATGACTATGATTGGAGTAAACATTCCACCGTAATTACACGTACAACAATCCAGACTGTCACCAGACGAGTTGAGCAGCCAAAGTGCTTTGTTGCACTGGTCTTAGGGAGTAACCATAGAAACAAAGGGAAGTTAATTCATGGCATGTATATGCTGGGCCTTGAATAAACATAATTGCCAACTGAAGATAAAAGTGGGAAAGGGAGGCGTTAGTTCACATGAACTGTGAAAATTACATTCATTCTTGTGCCACAGCTGAACTGCTTTCCTGGTGCTAGTGCAATTGTTCCAACTAGAATAGATGGTACATTTGTTCACAGAAAGCCTGAAGTAGAACATTATATGTTTTGTTATCCACTAATCTACACATACATCCTGTTATAGGGGCATTCTCTTGCTAGTATTAGTATTAGCATCACTGTTCTTCCTGCAATTTAAAGCCATCGGTCACCCAAAAATGAACATTTACTGTTAATTTAGTCATTCTCAGGTCAGACAAGATGTAGGTAACTTTTTTCTTCAGTAGAACAGTAAAGATTTTTATCTGAAACCGTTGTCCTTAGTGGTTCATAAAATGCAGTTCCCACATACTATCACTTTGAGAGTCAGAAAAGCATATACAGGCAACACAAAATTATTACCATGGCTCCTGACGATATACTGTATATTGAGGTCTTATGAAGTGAAATGACCTGTCTATGCAAGAAACTGAACATTATTTACTTGTAATCCATAGCCTAAGGCAAATGGCCCTGAGCTCGTTCACGAGAATCTGGAGTGCAAGCTTGCTGTCTTCCTGACGTATGCGTGGGCGCAAACTCACATGTGAGCTGGCACTGTGCTTGTTTACAGTAGAGAGGATACCTGTGTTGTATTGTTCATCAAAATGGTACTTGCGCTTATCTTGGAA